TTGTCTATTCAAACGTAAGCTCTGCTGCATAGGGAGGTATGACCAGATGGTAGGGAAATACCCGGTGAATCATTTCGGATAATACGAAGTGTTATTTGTACAAGAATAAGCCTAAAATAAGCTTTATCAAAAGTTGATAAGTTTGATGATGCAAGGTCATGGAAACAACGGGCCAAACATATCATTAAAGTGAGTGACTATTGCCATGTATAGAATAAAGAGAAAAATGAAATAAGTAAAAGCTCGTAGAGTCTAGAAAAAATGTACCAAACTAATTTTACAGATCGAAAACAGGATTTTGGAAGACATATGAATTTAATATCGAAGTTAATAACAAAATAGGAAAGTATAATCATGTGCGCAGCAGATATTTGGGGTAAATCTTCTCAACCAGTGAGAATGAAGCACTGAGCAATGCAGGGCTAAGGGCATATGAAAAAAACAATATTGATCCAAGAGTTTGAAGTGATAAAGATTAAATAAATGGTTGACTCATGGGCAAACAAACTAAAGTCTAAGGAGCTAAATGCCGTCAAAGGTCTATCCTAGCGTTTATTTGAAGCAATGAAGAATACTAGTGACTAAGGTTATGACTACAAGGGGGAACAGTCACTGGAGAAGAATGCTATTTTATACAGACCGATATAAATATAGTGGATTCGGATTGAATCTAAGTCACTAGAACTATCGGAGATAGTAGATAGGAATAAGAAAGACATTGTTTTCAAATGAATCTGCTTGTAGTAAAGACACTTTTTCACACGTGGAGTCTTTTTTAAAGAATATGAATGTAACAATCGTGTAGCCCTTTGCGGTGAGTTGGCAAGCGAGAGTAAATATGGATAATGATGGGAATGGCTGACGATAAAAGATGGAATGGGTGAGGAAAAAAGAAAAGGACAGGAGTGGAGGTGAGGATGCATATTAGGAAAATAACGAAGACTAGCATGGACGATAATAGATAAAAAGATTAATTGGAGCAGAGTTAGGAGGTCAACAAAGCTATTGAACATTACAATTGACCGCAAGCAATCCTTCCGGTCCAGTTAGCTGTGAAGCGTCAACCAAATGAGCCAATGCCCGCACCATGTAAGCCATGGTGCCGTATCGACCTGCAGGCGGAGTGTCGTAGAAGTGTTGACATATTTTATGCGCCCCGCGACATTCGAGGAAGCCAAAAGAAGAGAGAGCGAATGCTAGACGTTCAGAAAGAGAGGCAAAATTTGAGGACTTGTCCATAGTAGGGGTGCCGGGCTCGTCTGGGTTATCGTTAGCTCCAGGAAGTTTGGCGCAGCAGAGAATTGCGTTTGCCTGGTGCTTTGCCTATATAGACAATAAAATAGGAAAACAAAAAATTTCGGCTCTAGTTATTGGCGAATAAAAAGGAGAGAAAAGAGAGTTAAGAACAACTAAATACATCTGAAGACTAAGATAGTACGGCCTTTAGTATGGTCGCGGAATCCACATTATCCTTGATTACTTCCAGAGTCGGACCGTGAACTTGGTACATTCCCAGACGATTCGCCGTGATCGCCAATGAATCTTGCAATTCTTGGAATCACACAACAACTAAATAGAGACAAACGAAGTGAACCCTTTGGCCAATTATTCGCTGAACGGTTGGTGCATTCATCTGTCCGATATTCTCGTATACCCCATTCACTATCAAAATTTTATAATTGCTTATTAAAACCTAGTTTATGTATACCCTTTTGAGCATATTTCGTGAGCACTATTCACACTACCCGCTGGTTCCATCATCCCACCCCAATTGGGTTGGAAGTGTTGATCCAAGTCTGCGTGTTTAGTTTATACTCATAGTCATACAAGTCCTATTAGAGTCTTCCCCTTGCCCCGTATGATACGTCTCTTATCTCCTTGGCTTAATGATTTAACTTGATCCCTGCTAATATATCCGTTCTTATCGAGGCGTGAAATTCCACACTTTGCCCCAAGCCTTTGATAGCACGTATACTCTAGCCTTACTGAGCAGGCCCCCAAATTCCTGACTTTCAAGCTGGATGAAAAATTAGCCTAGCACTGTAGTTTATCTGTTCAGAATATGCACCAAGTAGACCCCGCCATAACGCCTTTACTTCACGGACAATGTCTGTCCTATACCAATGGTTCCCAAACTTTTTCTAGTAGCGGCGCTCTTTCCAATTAAAATTTTTCCATGTCGCCATACCCTAAGTATGACTATTCGTAAATAAGATATAAAAATAAATAAAACTAGTGTATCTTCATTATTTTTTTACTTTATTAACATTAAATTAATATTTCATAATTAATGTGATGGATAAGTCTTCAAATCACTGCACATTTTCTCAAATCGTGGAATGAAACTGGACGAGGCCACCCTCATTTCCTTTTCCACGTTGATTTTTTCTCTATACTTGCTTTTTATTACAGCGACCGCCGAAAACCCAGCTTCGCACAAATACGTCGAAAATGTAATTAGAATCCGT